AAAATGGACATTTCTTTCATTCTACGAAGAAAGCAGAATGTAAACAAACGCACAGCTACGCCCGTCAAATTCATTAATATTCCGTCTTGTTTGCGGGGCCAGTTTTAAAACTGATCGCTATTCCACTTACTTAATTCAGTGTAAACAGAACAGCGTTGCACTTCACCCGGAATTATTTTTAGACTGCTTAAATTCTAAATTCTTTTGCACGAAATAAGAATGTCGAGAAAACTTCTAATTACTTTTTCCGATCCAAAAGAGAGCGACCTTCATCTGAAACAAACATCTTCAATTTGTCCTTTCTTTTGTCTCAATTCAGCCAAAGAATAATTACTTAACTACTACCCCTCTTCCTTATTTTTATTTCCTCTTATATATAAAAAAAAGCAAATAAGCAAAACCTAATCTAATGACGATAAATCAAAGTTTATATAGGATGAAAAGTTGTTTATTATTACAAAGTCAACAACCTACGTTTCGCCCTTATTTACAGGGTTTATTTGGTCAGTAAATTATGTTATTAAGAATAAGATAACAATTATGCTTCTTCTTAATACAATAAATTAAAAAGAGCGAAACGTCGGTTGTCATTTTATAATAATAATAATTAACTTTTTACCCCATAGTAAGCTTTGATTTGTCGTCATTGGTATAAACTGGGTAAGGGATGGAAAGTAAAATCCTTTTATACAAAATTTTCTCCAAGAGCTAACTAAAAATGATACAAAAACGTTTAAAGCTTTAAAAGCATTTTAATTAATTACCTACAATTTTTATTTTTTTTTTTTTTTGGTTGACCCACTTACCCAGATATTAAATGGAACAAAATTGTGAAAAATGCTCACATTAGTAGAATTTGATACGAAGTGTAACACGAATATTAATCAACATCTGACATTAACAAGTTAGAGAAAAGGAAACAGGATGTAGCCAGAATTTTAAAAATATACCTACGTCGATGATAAATAATTTCTTCTTAAATGCTTATGATGCTGAGTACTCATTCAAAGTTTACTTTAATAGTAAAATTAAACACAAATAATTTGAAGAAACAATTTAACAATGAACGTTTAACAATTTAACGTTCAAAAACTTTTTGTCAAATAAAAAAACGTCCATTGTACTGTACCATTTTTGCCATCAAAATTCGGTTCATTCTTTTGGCATAAGTTATAGTCCTGCAAGTGGAAATCAATGTGGAGGATAATAAAATCCTTTCCTTATAAAGAATAAATGGGATTTTTTATTCGGTAAGAAATTTGGTAAAAACTATTTGGCACACATACAATTCGGGACTAAAGAGTAAGATGGACGATTCAAATTTCACAATTTTTTGACTTTGATTTATCACTTCTTGCTATATTTTTGTTAAACAGTGTATTTTACTATAGGTATTAGAATGATCACAAACTTATTATCAAAAGTTAAGGCAACTTAAAATAAACGTTCTTACAAACTTTTTATTTAACGAAAACTCAGTTCTGATTAAATAAAACCCTACGACATTGTCAGTTACTAATAGTGGTTAATATGTAATATTAATTTGAAATCATTTTTTGATTTTTTTATCCACTACAGACTTCCTTAGATTAATGAGGAAAATATTTTTTGTTGCTGTTGTCACAAACCCGCCGGGAATCGAACCCGGGAGCCTTAGTTTTAGGCAGAGCATTGGTGCGTAAAGCCAAAGGTCCCGGGTTCGATTCCCGGCGGGGGTGTGACAACAGCAACAAAAAATATTTTTCTCATTAATCTGAGGAAGTCTGTAGTGGATAAAAAATCAAAAAATGATTTCAAATTAATATAACTCAGTTCTGCTTAGCGTGACCCTCATCATGTTACATACGAGTATAACAGTTGGTGGACCTCTAACATGTTACTAAACTCTCTTTTATTACAATTGATGCTAATATTAAAAACGAATGACAGTTGCATATAACTACTTCTTTTTCCTAAAAATACACTATTCATAAATACCGTACAAATGTTAATAAAATTGCAACAGCTACTTAATCACCTGTCAACAGTAAAATGTTCTAAATATTATTTTTGAAACAATGCATGTACTGTTTTGAAAGTCAGAACAGGTGTGTGTTTATTGAGAAATTGCGTACGTAATAAATCGATGGTTCCTTTTCTAAAAACTGCACATGGAAAAACATGTTAACTGCTTGGGTTATTTTCAATATATACCACAAACATAATGGTAAAACACAAAATATAATTGAGTGCTGTGGAACAGTAACTAAACCTTAAAACTCACAATTTCACAAAACGTTTAGAAACCTAAAACCTATTGTAAATAAAAAGTTCTGGTTCATGCACTGACCCACCCTGCATATTAACTTAACCCCATGTAGCGACAAATTTGAAGCAGCAAACATTCAACTTCACATAACCTAAGACGTTTTCCTTAATTCAAAATTATGCGGCGTGTTTATTTATCCAAGAAAATTTCACTTCCTGGTTGAGGGGTGAAGCAGGGAAGGAAATAAGCTTGCGCTCTGAGACATTCTTTACTTTTCCTACCTAGGTGCATATTATATTAAAACTAGCGACCCGCCCCAGCTTCGCACGAGTGCAATGCTGATACTAAATATGTATATTTTTGTTTTGTTTAGATTAATATCGAGAAGGGGTAATCTTCAAAAGATACCCCTTGAACATACTAAATATACTACAGAATGTCTTTAAATACAACATTCACAGTTTTTTTGTCATTAGACAATACAAACCGGCCTTCCGGCTGGTACCGCCGCTTCCCCTATGTCCCTGCATTTTAAATCTGTAATATCTTCGAAAATATTCATTTAAATTACATGCTGTAAAGCGCCATATTGATCTAGATTAAATGCACAATGTATTTAAGGTACTTAATCTGATAAGAATTAATGCCGTATTGTTTACAATCGCTTCGTAAATAAGTCATTATTTCTCATAAAAAGTAAAGGACAAAAAATAGTTATTGTGGGTTATCCCTAAGAGATAGACATATACCATCGCGGACTTTTTTGTAGACCTTTTTAAGGTGTACAATATTGTAGTACATTATTTTGATCTATCTCGTAGGGTTCAGCCAGCGTTTGCAATGTAAGCGCAAAAAATGTGTTCATTTNTATATAATTCCTAAAATCGCCCGGAAAATTGTGAAATAAATTATATTAAACACATTTCCTAGGAAATGTATATAATTTCTAAAATCGCCCGGAAAATTGTGAAATAAATTATATTAAACACATTTCCTAGGAAATCTATATATTTCCTAGTATCCTATCCTAAATAGATATCAATGGTTACACGGAGGTAGCAGCACGAGGGGAAAGTATTGCGTTATCCAATCAAGCGATTTATTGTATTCACAGATAACACTAATTCTCAGTTTACTAACGTATTTTATTCATTTTATTCACAGAAAGCATTAGTTTTATACGTTTCTCAGTACAATATCGGAATTTCATACAATTCCTAGGAAATGCATACATTTCCTAGGATATGTCTGTATTAAAAAAACTTTAAAACAATATTTTATAGATTTCCTAAATAGCCTCGGAATTGTATACAATTCCTAGATTTCATACATTTCCGGTAACATACCTTACAAGAATGTTAATACCTTAAAGAAAAACTTTTTTTTTGCAAATTAAATGCCACACATACCTACTTAATGAATTACCAAAGTAGTATACTATAATGCAATAATTTATTTTCCTAAAATTGCTCTATATTATATACCATTACCCAAAGATACCTACCCGTATAACCCTCATCACGAAGTTTCATTAATTTCGTAAAATATTCTGATGCAAAAAGTATAACATCTTTCGGTTGGTTTTTAAGAATCTCTTTGGTAAGACCATTCATCAACTCTTCCAAATTCACCGGAACACTAACCCTTTTAATTATGTAATGTTCTTCCATTGTAGACACTTGCTTTTATTCTTAAAAAATGCATATAATGTAAAACCCAGTCAGTTTTTAATAAGTTAAACAAAAGCATTTTTAAAACGATGAAAAAAATATCCGAAAACNTGCGGACAGTAATCTAATTTAGGTCTACCTATACTCCTATTAACTCCTATTTCTGTTTCTAATGTCTCTAACCAGACGTTCATGCCTGAGAAAGTGTCCTATCAACCTATCTCGCCAATTTTTTATTGAATAGAGTCCTCTATTCTCCTATTCTTTCTAATACCTTTTCATTTTTAACCTTCTCTATCCACAGTATCCTCATCATTCCCCGGTAACACCACATTTCGAATGCTTCTAACCTTGCCTTTTCCGCCGCGCCCACCGTCCATGTTTCGCACCCATACAGCGCCGCGATCCAAACATACACCTTTAACAATCTTTTTCGAATTTCTAAATTAATCGTTCACGAGCATATAAGTGACTTCTTTTTATTGAAGACGACTCGATCCTGCGCTATCCTCTGCTTTATATCCCTACTACTCCTTCCGTCCTGACTTATCTGACTTCCTAGATACCTAAAACCAGTCACTTCTTCTAATTTTGCGTCTCCTATGTTTATATTCGCTCTTTCCCTACTTTTTCTTCCTTTGCATACGAATATTTTAGTTTTACTTTTATTTATTTTCATACAATACTGTTTTATCAATACCGCTTCCATTTTATTTAAACCTATATCTAACTCTTCCTTGCTAGACGATAATACTATATGCTATAAACGTACTAATCTTTTGCCCCTCTATATCTATCCCTACAGTTATACTGTCGTGTTGATGTTGATCGCGTCCTCGATGTATAGAATAAAAAGTTGCTGCTCCAACCCTACCTTTCAATTATTATTCGTATCCCAACCGATCCCATGAAGCAAGGAAAATAACGGAAGTCTATTGTAACATATATAGGTACATCTTGTAGCATATTTACACTACTTAATCTAACTATCTAAAAGCAGAAACGAAACGCTTCTACAGGGGTGCATCAACACAGTAAGGGCACGTGAAAATATCAACTTACTATTATAACATATACTTGACCTGCATCTTGATTAAGAGGCACGGACAGCGGAAAACTTGCTCCATTCAGTTGTTCAGTTTGAATGGAAATGGAATTGCTACCATTAGAAGAAGCCGAAGACAATCGACTACCACCGGTCACTTCAATTTTATCGCCCTCCGCATCTTTATCTTCTCTTTGATAATTTTGCTCGTCATTTGTCTTACCAGAAAGTAATTCCGAAGACACTTGATCGCTGGTGGATTGATCACTACTCAAAATTGCTTCATAAGGACTGTCGATATCCTTTTTTTCTTGCTCCGATATATTTATGTTGGATAAATGAGTTCCATAAATTATTTCACTTGTGGTATCTGGCTCTCTATTGGTATTCGAAATAGCTTCGCGCAATTCATTTTTTTTAGTCATATTCGTTTCTAGTTTACCACTTCCCGTGATCAACCAAAACTGTCTTTCCTTTTCTAAAAAATCGTTCAAATCAATTTCGTACATTTTTGAAAGAGCTTCTTCTGGTTTAGGGTGTTCGTTATTTTTTCCTTCTCCTTTCTCTCCTTCTTGTATTGAAGGTTTATCATGACCATTTGTAAGAAGTATATCCTTTATATATTCATCAGATATTTTATTCTCAGTCAACAGTATAGATTTAGAAGTTTCAGGCAATGATTCAGCTTCTTTTACAATTTCTCCTGAAGAAACGTTACCTTCTTTTTTTGACTTAGACATAGCTTCATCTTCCATATTTGGGGAAGGTTTTTTAGTACTCTGTCTCTCCTCCCGCAATAAATCACTCTCCTGCTTTTGATTATCTGCATCACCCTCTTTATCTTTAGTGACAATAGAAGAAGATTTCGAAACATGCTTCCTATCTGTCCTAGATTCCCTTTTCTCTTTTATATGAGATGTTGAAAAGCTCTTTACCATTCGCTTTTTGTTGATATTTTTTGTATCTTGATCTTTCTTTTTATTTTCCCTTGTAATACTCACGCTTCTAGTTTTCTTCACTTTATTTTTTTCTACTATTTCAACGGGCTTAATTATCAACGCTTTGTTATCAGCTCCTGTTTCTTTATTGGCTATTTCACGTTCTTGTTTTATGTCTTTCGCCTTCTTATTAGCTGAAATATCCTGAATTTGTTCAAGATCTTTTTCCTTATCATCTTTATTTTTTATATTTTCGGGTAAACTTGCGCTGCTTTCCGTTCTGGTTTCGTTCAAGTCCAAACCATTGATGGTTAAATTTGTTTTTAGTTTGGAAATATTAGGCATCATTGTGTGTAATTCCATTTCTTTTTCTTCCTTTTCTAAAGCCCCTTTTGAAATTGCTATATATTCTCTATTTTGTAATTTTGAATCGTCTTTATCTTCTACAGAGCTAACTATAGCATTTTCATGTACATCTTCTTTTATTGTTCCAATTGTTTCACCGAGTTCTAACTTATTTAGTAATTCTTTTGACAGTTCCACTGCACTTGCCATTTTTTCTGCCACACTTTGTATGTCATCTACCAAACTTATGTTTTTATCTGTTTTGAAAATGTTTGTATCAGTAGTATCATTGTCTTGCTGTGGTTTTAAATTTAATTTTGCAACATCATGATCCAACTTTTCTGTTGAAGCACCCTCCTTTTCATCTTCTCTCTTCATTTTCGCATCATCAACACTTCCTAATTCCTGTAATGCTTCTTTTTCATTACTTCGTTGCTCATCTAATAGATTTATATTCTCCAGAATGTCCTTTTCAGGAATACTATTTTGTTTGCTTCCGTTGTTTTTTAAATCCAGTACGGTACTATTTTCGACATTTTCTAGGGATCTCTTTAAATTCTCGCCATAATTTTTGATAGCATCATCCTCTTTAACTGAATTTAAAAGTTCTTCAGTCTCATTTTCTAATGTTTTTATATCTGATTTATTGACATGTAATACTTTTTGATAATCATTTAAAGTAACTTTTGATTGTTCCACTTTTTCATTGACCTCTGTCGTTACTTCAGGTATCTGGCCAGTTATCTCTACACTCATTTCTTTTTCTGTATCGAAACATTTTTCAGTTACTGCGTCTTCGTCAGTATTTGGAACTGACTTCAACTTATCGTTAGTTTCAGATAAAATTATATCATTTTCTTCTCGTACCAATGTAGTAGGTATATCATTACCTTTATCACAACTATTTAATAATTCTTCATGAGTGTTGTCATCTTTCAATAGTTCTTTAGTAAATTCAACAGTTCCATCCGGTTCTTTTTTTATATGAGTACCTGTCATATTTTGTTTCTCCAAATTGTTATTTTCAATTTGTTCTTCGTTATGTTCATTCTTTTGACTTTCGAGACTTTTTATTTTCTCCATTTGCAACTTTTCATCATCAATTTTTTCTCCTGACTTCAAGTTTGCATCAGTATTTTCTAAATTGGAAAAGGGATCAGCAATACCAAAATTATATTCGTTCTTGATTTCTGTGATAGTAGTTTTCTCTTCCTTTTCTTCAGTCTTACCGTTATTAACGTCCGAGTCGTTTTTTGTTAACAATTTCCCTTCAAGTTTGTTATCTTCAACCTGTTCCCTTGATGTTTCTACAATATTTTCTGGCATGAACTCCCTTTTCTCTCTCATCTCGCCGACCTCACTTTCCTTGGTGTTTTCGTTAATTGTAGTTTGTTTTTCACCGATATTTTCAAAGATTTTCTCCTTATCAACTTCTTCTTTCATTTTATCTTCCTTGATTTCAACTATATTTTCCAATGCAGATGTGTCTTTTTTAGTTGCACCCTCTTCCTGCATTTCCTTTTCAGCAGTATCTACTTCAGTATCTTCTTCTTGTTTTAAATTATCAGGAACTTTTACATTTTCATCTTTCTTACTATCGGTTTGGTTTGTCAAGTTTACGTCTTTTGTATTTTGTAATGTATTTACGTCATCTCCTTTAATTCCGTGGGCAGTTTTTACAACATCATTTTCAACATTTGGAGCTGACAACGGATATTTAGTATCTCCATAATTTGTGTCTTCTTTATTAGATAAAACTTGTACTTGGGCATTTGGTTTTTCATCATCGTTTGTACGGACATCTCCCAACATATTTTCATCAAAAATCTTATCTGCACCGTCTTTCATTTCTTTGTCCACTTGAGTCACGTTCGTTAAATGTTTATTTCCTGAAACTAAAGTTTCATCCGCAAGCTTTTTGTCAGTAAATCCTTGTTCAAATCTCAGGAACATGTCAGTTGTGCTTTTTACTTCTTCTTCCGAAATAGATGGTTCTTCTTCGCTATTTATTTTATTACTGTTTTTATCTTCTTCCAGATTTATTTCCAAAAGAATGTTTTTCATGGTATCTAAATGTTCCTGTGCTATGTCGCTTTCCGAATTAGAATTCAAACACGTTAAATTACTATCGGATGTCTGTAGTTGATTATTTGCTGTAATATCATCATGTTTATCGATCCCGTTGCTCCGTTTATTTTCGTTTGGAATGAGATTCCCTGCAATGTCAGATGCGGCAGGTCTGGTCGGTACAATATTGTGTACCGTCCTATTTTTAGACGAAATGTTGGATGCGTCACTTGAGGAATGAAGCTCAGAGACCATAAACGTCTGTTTGTCGCCATTAATTTCTTCTCTACCTTCAGCTATTGACAGGTGACTTATCTTATCTTTTTCCATATTTTTTTCGTCTTTTGGTGTAATTTCGATTCCGCTGCTAGATATTTCCAGCTGCTTCTCATTCTCCTTAAGAGCTGTTTCGACATGACTAATTTTCTCGCTTATAGAATGTTGAACTTGTGGTTGTGGATGTTTCTCTCCCTCGTGATCAATTAAAGGAGCTACAGTCACTTTTTCACAAGGTATTTCTTCCACTGTTTTCATTCTTACCAGCTGCTTACTGTCAGACACAATATTGAGGGGTTGTACTGTCTGGTTTAAAGCAGATGGTTCTAAAGTGCTCGCTACATTAGATTCTTCTTCTGATTCAGGTTGATTCTCTATTCCATCAATTTTAGATTCCTCTTCTAATTTTGTAGCTTCATTTTCTTCGAATTTTGTAATCTCTTCATCGTACTTTTCTTCAACGTTCTGTTCCATGCTTTTTTCTTCTATTACCTGTGAGTTTGCATCGTTATCAACTTTTTCAATCTTATTCGGAACATCTTTATATTCCTTCTTTTCAAAGTTTTTATCCATATCATGACTTTTCTCACTTTCTGGCTCGCTACTAACATTTAACAGAGATTCTTTTCCAATCAAATTCTCGGTGGTTTCGGATATCAACCGTTCCTTTTCGTTGTCAGATTTTGTATTAAATTCACCATCATTACTTTGCAGATCAATTGGTGAACTATTACCTTTATCGTCAAAATGAGAGGGCTTTTCTGGATCTTTAACATTCATCAGCTGTTCTTCTGTTTTCTGTAACTTGATTGTACCTATTTCTGCTTCGGTCAGATCCACCTTACTTTTTGATATAATTTTATCCTCTTCTCTGATTTCTGACGTTTGTTCTGCATTCTCCTTCCCTTCTTTTCTAATTTTTCCCATAGCAAGTTTATTTTCTTCCATAGGTTCATCTTGTTGGATAATACTGTCGCCTTGTTTCACTCCTGTACTGGTTTCACCTAATGAACTTTTATCTTCATCATAACTTTTGTCAAGAATTACCTTTTGGCTAGCACTTTCCTCTGTTTGATTTAATTCCACAGGAATTGTTTCTTTGTATCCTGTTTTTCTTTCTGTTCCTGGTTCTTCCTGAATTTGTTCAAAACGTTCTTTATTTTTACTTTCTGTTCCTGTTTTACTTTCTTTCTGAGTCAATACATCACCTGAATCACTGTATTTATTTAAATCAGGATTTGTAGCTTCTGTAACTGTCTTTATTTCCTTAACAGCAGTGCTTTCATTAATGACCTTAAATTCTTCTAATTCATTTATGCTTTTTTCCTTATGTATAGTGTCCGATGTGCTATCTTGTGGTACCGTTACTTCTACCTCTTCTTGTTTCGAAGGCAATCTCGGTATTTTCATAAAATCAGTTTTCAGCCCTTCGTCTTCTTTGTACTCGCTTTTATCCTTGTTAATGTCCTGTTCGTCTGCATTACAACTGAAATCCTTGTTTTCCAAAAACAAATTAGATGCAACTATTAAATTGTTTCCGTTCCCTGTTTGCTTTTCTGTATCTGTTTGGCTCTTTTCAATTTCCAGCGAATCTACTTTAATACTATTATCTAACGTTTTCGTAGCCTCATATTTCAGCTCTTGGTTATTCAATTCGTGGTATTTCGCATCCTTTACCATTTCATCTTTCTTTTCCAAAGATACACCTAAAAGTTCTTTATTTTCTGTTTCTTCACCTACCACATCTATTCCCGGTTCAGTTTCAATTTCTCCGTTTGGAATGCCTATTTTATGGCCATCATCCGTCAATTTGTTATCTTTATCTTTTTTAAGCTCAACATCAATTTTTTCATTATCCTGAGTGTTTTTCTTAATATCATCGTCTTTTAACCTATTATCTTCATCTTTTTCACGTTCAGTTTTAATATTCTCGTCGCCCTCAGTACATTTTATATTATCAAAATTTTTAAGTTTATCATCTTCGCCTTTTTCAGCTTTTTCGATTTTAATGTTTTCTACATCCCCAATGTCCTTGTCATCATGTTCAATTAAAATTTTACCATTTTTGTGAATGTCTTTTCTATAGTTATCGTCTTTTAATTTTTGACTTTTATCATTATCAAGTTCAGTTTTTGATTTTTCGAAACCTTGATTATCCTTGTTGTATTCAAGATCCTTTAATTTTTGATTTTCAACTTTTTCGTCGTCGATTTTAATTTCTTGGTCGCCCTGAATATCCTTCCGGTTGTCAATATCTTTCAATTTATCACTTTCGTCTTCATCAATTTTATCTTTTTTATTATCTTGAACCTCTTTCATATCTGTTAATTTTTTATCTTTGCTTCTTTCATATTCAATTTTAATTTTCTCATTTTCCTGAGTAGCTTTTTTATTGCTATTATCGTTAAATTTTTCATCTTTATGTTTTTCATGTCCAGTTTTGTTATCTTCGTTATCCTTGATCTCTTTTTCATAATCTCCATCCTTTAACTTCCGATCTTCCCCCTTTTTACGTTCATTTTCAATTTTCTTGTTATCCTGAATATCTTTTTTGTTGCTATCCTCAGTTACTTTATTTTTGTCTTGTCCTGTTTGTTTATTTTCGATATCCTGAATCTCTTTTTTGTGACCGCCATCCTTTAAGTCCTGATCTTTCTCTTTTTCATGTTCAATTTTAATTTTTTCATTTTCCTTGACATGATTGTTAATACTGAGATCCTTTAATTTTTCGTCTTCAGTTTTTTCATAATGAGTTTTAAGATTTTCGTTTTCCACTACGTTGACTTTATGTTCATGATTTATTAATCCTTTGTCTGTTAGTTCTATAGGATGATTGGAAGCTTCTACTGATTTCGTCTTCTCTTCGCTTATCTCCTTTTTCCCGTCTTCTGTTTTACTTCCATAATTGTTTTTGGAGTTTTCAATAAGATTATCATCGTCTGATTTCTCATTTTTGTCTGACGGCTTTAATATTGTTGTTGATTCGTTTGCCTCGTGAATATTTTTAATCTCATGTTCAGTTTTGATATTTTCTATCTTGTGTTCACGATCCTTCAAAAAATCCTCTTCTTTGTTTGTCAAACTAATTTTCTTTGTCTCGGATTTTTCTTCTACTTCTTTTGGTGAGATATGTGTCTCGTGGAGCTTTTCGACTTCTTGTTCTTTTTCAAGTTCAGTTTTGATATCATTGTATCCGATATCTTTCAATACTTTGTCTTCATCTATCAAGTTCGTATTAGTTTCTTGTGATCTTTGACTCTCTTCTTTTTTTTCTATAAGTGCATCAGTTTCATTTCTTTTACCATCCTGCACATCTTTCTCGTTATCAATTAATTTTGACGTCTGGTCTTCTGCTTGCAATTCCGATTTTCTTTCTTCGTCATCTTTTATAACATGATTTTGGATATTTAATGTCATATCAGATACTTCCAATGCTTCAACTTTGTGCGGTTCAGATTTTTGTTCTGTAAATTCTGTAACATTGTCCAAAATTTCTATTTGTTCTTTTGAATCGTCTAAATTCTTGGAAGAATGGGTTTCACTCTTATCAGAAGCGATTCCCTTTTCCTCGTTTTCCTTTTCTTTCATAGCACCTTTATGTAACTTCTCGTCTGTGTTTCCACGTTTTTCTGCTACTACCGGAACTGGTATAGAAATAGGAGTATCTTCTAGTGAACTACTTGGCTTTTTACGAGGTTTTGGAGCAACGACAGCCAACAATCCACCTTTTATAAATTTTCCCTCTTCCTCCACGGAAGAATTTTTTGGTACAAATTTATTAGTAGTTCCATAATGGCCTTCCAATTGTGGCTTTGGTAAAGAGCCTGCTCGTTCAGATTTTGAGACATATTTCTTAGCGGTTGTTTTGGTTTTGTTAGCAGGTTTAGACGAAATGTGTTTTTTCACACCCTGTATATTTTCATTATCAGATAGCGAATCATTTTGTTTGCCTTTGTCTGAAACTACTTTTTCTTTCGTTTCAGTTTCGCGCTTCCTTTTAATATAATTATCGACGATACCGTGATGGTCAATTTTCTTCGAAACAAGATCTACATTGGTCACATGTAATGACACTTGTCGTGACAACGGTTTCGTGCGTGTGTCGATTGCCAATTTCTCGACGGGTTTGGTTACATTTTTTGCGATTTGTTTTTCTTTGCGTGGTGTTAGCTTAATTGCACTTGATTTGGTACGCGTCCGGGCGAACCCTGGAATGAAAATAAACAAGGCTTCACAATTACTATTCCCGTATTTTGTTAACTAAATACGGGTCACTGGGTCATTCGAAACATGTGTTACAAGCAGGTCAATTGCTGCAACTTAAACATCGTCAGTTTCTTTTGGGTTTTTTCACTGCGCCAAAAAATTCTATTCGTGTTTTCAATTTTAAATGTAAGATGATTCATGCGTAATTCAATAAAATTTAAAGGGAATGTAATACGCAATAAATTTTAACAACTAGAAATACAGGGTGATTCGCCGATTTGCATTCTAAATAGTGATAATATAACTAAAATTCGCGTTTCTAACATCCAATCAGTTTTTTCTTATAACTATATAACGCTTCTATATTACATAATTCTTTATTACTTCTTTAGCATGTAAATAAAATTATTTCTCCGTTAAAAAAAACTATCAATACAATTGTGTGATTAAGTGCATTCTTATATAATTAATAAAATTATTAAGTTTCAAAGTTTAATCACAATAACAAATCAGCACCAGCTTACCACCGTACGCGCGCGTTGATTGGTGCTAATAATACATTTAATAGCAAAATAATATTGTTAATTTTTGTCTTAAAATTTCACACTTTTTGTAGCACCCTGTATATGTAATTAAACTTTTATGCAGTTTTGGTAGGTACCCATAACATTTTGCATCAACGTCCATTAATATGCGTACGTTAACGGAAATGTGTGTAATCCGTCATTGTATACAATTCCTAGGAAATGTATATAATTCCTAAAATCGCCCGGAAAATTGTGAAATAAATTATATTAAACACATTTCCTAGGAAATGTATATAATTCCTAAAATCGCCCGGAAATGTGTGTAATAAATTATATTAGACACTTTTCCTAGGAAATCTATACATTTCCTAAACAGTAATTGGAGATGTCAATGGTTACGCGGGGACAGCGGAACTGAAAATTGGATTGAAATTCATTTGATTTATAAGTACAATATAAATCTCATAGTACGCAGGTAGAAAACGGCAAATAATACAAGTCGAACATTAAGAACGCGTTGTGAGCGTTCAACAATTGACAAAACGCGTTCCGGTTGTTTAACAGTTACCAGAACGCATTGCGAGCGTTTAAAAACAGCCAAAACGCGTTGTGTACGTTCGAAGGCAGCCAGAACGCGATGTGGCCGTTTTTTCCGGCCACTGAGCGTTTTCGGTCTTCGGGCCTAACATATACATTAATCTTTGAAACAATATTTCATAAATTTCTTAAATAGCCTCGGAATTATATACATTTCCTAGGAATTGTATACAATTCCTAGATTTTATACATTTCTGGTAACATACAAATATTTTGCAGTAGAATTTATTTTCATTTTTACTTCTAGCTTTGTGCTTATTATTGTGGGCCGGAAACTTTTTGAACATTACGTGTTTAAATAAGTATGCTTTGTAGCCTATTCAAAGCAGCCAGCGTCACCGGTATTTTAAATTACGAAAGACAATAAGGTGTGGGTATCCCGTTTTACTGAAGGTATGCATGTATCAATGCAAACGATTGTTTCAATAGACAACTGCCAGCGGTTAGAACAAAACAGTAGAATAAATAGGTGCTGTCTAGATTTATCATCTAGTATATTGTGTTTAAACATCGAATGACCTAAATTTCTTTTCCTTTAAAGTCCTCCTCAAAACAACAGCGGTCGACACTTGTTTTGCAAAACTTTACAAACAAAGACATTCGTTTAGTCGCCTTATAATCCATGCATTCAACTGTCATGTTTTGTGAAAGACTTTTTATAATTATCATGGAAATTGCGATGGTTGATGATAAATAAAATTAAAATCNGTGCCTATCACGTTGAGGTTGGCTACGCCGGGATTCGTTTTCAGCAAGTAGATATCCACACAAGTGGACCTTGTTGGAGCATACGTAATCCTAAAATGTAGCATCGTGCTACAGATGGCGTTTACTGCGCCATTCGTAGTATTTTCTGGAAGGGATATTCATTCATTAGAGGACTGCATCATCTACTGTAAAATGCGACGTGGTATAGAAAAAATTCTGCAAATACCTTCGACCGTCTTTTCATACAAATAATAAAATAATATAAGTCCAATAAAATTAAATAAGCTTTTGAAGGATATAACGCTTTATTTAGAAGGTTTTGAAAGTTTTATTAGTTTCAGAGAAGCAGGAAAAGGTATTTTCAGATAGACGTGGTTAAAAAAATTATGCGAAGGCGTAAAAGAGCCGATCGATTTTTTTTTTTTAATTTCGACTTGTAACTAAATGCTTTCATTCGTGTTGTCTTTACCTACTGAAACACTATGATTACAACCAAACAAATAAAAGTTTTATGTTCAATTAGATTAGGATCATAATTTTTATAAAGTAAAAGTAGGTAAAGTCAACACGAACGAAATGAGTTAATTTCTATGCTCGACAAGCATGTTTTGCCGTACCTAAGAAGAGGTACAATTATAAGTATAAAAAACTAAAGACGTGAATCCTCTTTAATTACACAAGCTTACACCCGAAAAATACTATTTTAAAGTAAAAGAATATATTCCTCTAATTTTGTGTATTTTATGTAGGTATCATTTAAACATCTTTAAATACTTTTAAAGCAGAGCAAACCGTATTTAAAAAAATATGTATTGATAACGTAATCATCTCAATCTCGGAATTATTTTAATAAAATATCTATATTCTATGCATCCCTTGAAAAAAGATTACGATTTCCTACATTTTTGCTGGAAAATATGTTGGCAGTGTCATCTCTAGTGGACATTCCACAACTGATTTTCACATCTGCTGTATATTAAATGCCGATAAAGAAAAATGTAATTATTATGTTCGGCAAACGTTTTGCGGTAATTAAGAAGAAATTCAAAAAATTCATGACGTAAATCAATTGCACAAGCTTTTTCCCCGAAAAAGACTGTTTTTAAATAAAGAAAAATGTTCTTTTTAATTTTATGCATTTTATATAGGTATCATTTTAAAATTTTTAAATGCTTTTAAAAACGAAGCAAGCAGTATTAAAAAAATACATATTGATAAAGTAATTGTGTCAATCACTGAATTATTTCAGTAAACTACCTATGCACTAAACATCCCTTGAAACAATTGTCCAACATTTTTGCTTGCGAATATATTGGTGACGCCATCTCCAAGGGATATGTCATAACTGATTTTCGCATCTACTGTACATTACAAATTTTAAATTATATTTATCGAACCGCGGTTTTCAAATTCATGGAAAGATAATCGAGAATTTACTAATCATTTTTACATTAATAAATATTTTCGTAAAAACTCTATTCGTTTTTCATTTATTTATTTTAGGAAACAGCGCAAAATAAATCATCCAAACACTTCATAAATAACTTATGTTTTTTATAATTTAAATTGCTGTAAAAATTCCTCTTCCAAAGGGTGCAATTCTGGTCCTGGGATTACAAGAGAATGAAGTGGACCTCCAAGATCCACAGTAACCATTTGAGAAAGAGAACATGCCACAATTTTCTGCGTTTCTGACCCAACTCTTGCTAACCCCACAGATAAGGAGTTAGCATTTAATTCTAAAATTGGGATATTCTCACTTTACACAAATAATCTTAAAAAACAAGAAATACCCTACCATCAGAAACATTACTGTTTCTACTTTTCAGTACTTCCAAAATCTGTTCAGTTGCTTCACTAACTGACATAAACTTTGGAGGCAAATACTCTTTCTTTTTCTTAGTTAAACTCTCTAAAGTAGGCTCTTTAACTTTAATATCTAAAAGTAATAAACTTAATTGACTAATAGCTAACAAGATAACTTTTTATTATTCACCTAACAAACAAAGAGTATGCAATTTTCTCTGAAAGTTTGAAATGATTTTGTCAAAAAAACTATCAGGTTTCCATGTTTCAGTCCAATAAGGTATTGAAACTGTTTCACCAAAATTATACAGCTGGAGACCACTACAACCAACTGCATTCAGAATCGATGCATTATGAACTACTTCACATTTGACCTCTTTTTCTTTTGCTCTTAAAATTAAATCTGTGTGAGTTGTTGCTCCAAAAGGATCACCAACAACTAAAAATGCAATATCACAATTTTGAGCTTCTGTTAAAATATCATCCACTCCTTGTTCGACAAGTTCTCTGTCTGCAGTAATTAATGTACAACCATAAAAATTTTCCTAAAATTTAAGTATATGTAAAATTTTGTCAACCCTTGTTAAGTTAAATCATTACAAGCTCCTTTAGTCCGCTAGATATTAGGATAGATGTATATGACTCCAAATAAACTTTAGAACACTTCCGTATAATTTCTAAGCCTTTAATTGTTATATCCTTACAATCCCCTAATCCTAATCCGATAATGTAAAACATATTATGAAAATCTCTTTAAAAAATTATTAATAAACCAAATTATTTTCCAGGTGATTCCTTTAACTTGAATTGTTGAATTACACATAAAAATGACCATAACTAAATAAGATCTGAGATCTTATCGACGGCTCGCAGTTGGTATTGAAATAATTTATTGTAATTCTAACCATAGATAATAGATACACAAAGGGTAATGGTAATTAATATTAATCATAGATAATATTAATTAATAATAACAATTGACTTGTGTAAATAACTAACGACCATAGATAACCTACAGATGGTTTACAGCTTCTTTCTATGAATGTTAATATGGCGAGCTGTGGCTGTTTGGTTTGGTCTGACAGTTGGGATGGTTAGTGCTTGTTGTGTATTGCTAAAATAATTATAAATTCATAACAAGTTAATATTGTGATTAACTAAGTCTTTTCCACGGCGCTTAGAGAATGTGTTCATATTTGCTCACCCATTTTCGATATATAGAATGTATTCCAGACGCACAGTGTATTGTTCACCTTTCTCGTAAAATTACATGAACAGGAAAATTTTTTTGTTTAGATAAATACTATTACATCTGTAGCACATTATTGTTAAACGGTCATTATAGTGTAAAGACAAGAAATAGTTACAGTCAATTACAATTTTCTAGTGTATGTAGTACAAACAAAATGGTGAGTAGTACCCTTGCTGCTTATCATATCACTGTTATAAATGTGAAATTATTGTATACCTGACTTTAAATTTTCAGCAAGGAGACGATCCTCCTTACCTATCAGTTGGCACTGCAGTAAGTGCTAAGTATAAGGGAGCATTTTGTGAAGCCAAAGTCAGCAAAGTTGTTCGACTTGTCAAATGTAAAGTAAGTATGCTTGTATTCAATCTTTCATGCTGTACTCAATGCTAATTTACTTTTATAATAAGTTCAAATATTACTTTTTATTGTATAGGTGACTTATAAAATGGGCTTGGGTACAGCAACAGTCAGTGATGAATTTATCAAAGGTCCATTAAGAATTGGACAACCTGTTCAAGCCAAACATCCTGATAAAAAAGACTTTGTTGATGCTACAATAACTAAAATACAAGATTGCAGTCAATATACCGTAGGTATGTATTTAAATTTGCAGTAGAAAGAAAAGTTTTCTCTTCATGTTATTATTTATCTTAGTTTTTGATGATGGAGATATAACAACATTAAGGCGCACAGCTTTATGTCTTAAAAGTGGCAGACACTTCAACGAAAGTGAAACACTGGATCAGCTGCCGTTAACTCATCCTGAACACTTTGGAAACCCTGTTGTGGGTGGAAGAAGAGGAAGGAGGTGTAGACAGATAAAGTAAATAGAATTACTTTCCAATTTAAAAGTAATTGCTTCACATAATTCACTTACAGGGAAGATAGCAGTGAAGGAGAAATTGAAGAAGAAAATGAGCCTGATCTCGAAATTTACAGTGGCGACATCGGACGTGTTGTTTGCATTGAAACTAGTGACAAAAAACGTACAAAAGACAACTGGTTTCCTGGCTTAGTTGTCATTCCTTCTGCACAGCCAACTGTACGAATAAATGCAAAGGATGAATTTCTTGTCAGATCTTTTAAAGATGGAAGATAGTAAGTAATGAAATTGGCATGGCAAAGTCAATCTTTATGTCAACTGTATAATTTTTATTTTAGTTATACTGTACCAAAAAAGGAAGTCACCGAATTTACAAGAGAAATGGGAAGTAAAGTCGAAAGTTCTGTGTTGGCAGAAGCAGTGGAAAAAGTACTACGTTATTTAGATAATGATGAACTTCCAACCCATTGGGAAAGAAGTTTGCTTTTCAATATACAATCACCGACGTCCGAATCGGACGAAAATTATTCGGAGGTAAACTACTTTTTATAATTCCCATAATCATAAAAATTAATAACCATCACTTCTGTTCAAGAGTTCTGATGACGAAACCTGCGAAGAAAAAGACCATTTCGTTGCTCAGCTCATCAAGTTTATGGACGACAGCAACACTCCATTAAACAAGAGCCCTATGATAAGTAACAAAGATGTTGATTTGCATCGTCTCTTTCGTATTGTCGAAAAGTTGGGTGGTTACAACCGCGTCACTAACAAGAATAAATGGCGTTCCGTTACTTTACGCATGAAATTACCCAACACACATGTTACTTATAACCAAGTTAAACAAGTGTACAAGAAATGCCTTTTTAGTTATGAATCATTTTATCGCACTTTGGGAGTGACCATGTTAAATCATTCACGATCGACAAAGAAAAGCAAGGGACGAAGTTTAATAAGAGATAAAGATCGTACTACTCCTGTAAACAGTCCCAAACCAGAAAAGGAAGATGAACTAGTAGTAGAAAAAAGGGAAGAGGAAAAACCTGAAGAGAAACTGAAGGTGGCGAAACGATTCGATTTTAAACCTAAAGAGGAAGAAAAAAAGAAAAAAGATGTGGTGGAGATAAGTGACACAAACAGTAGTGATGCTACAGATCAGTCAGAAGCTGCATCTTCATCATCGGTTGTTAGGTCAAGGAGACTGAAGCTTAAATTGAGTAAAGAACATAAACCAAAAACTACATACAACGACACGCAAGTAAAAGTTATGGTGGAAAAATTCGAAGAGACAGCCAAAAAAGTCGAGAAAGAAGAAGAAAAGGTATATTTGTTAATAAGAATGAAATAATGTATAAAATGAGCGTTTTCTCAATTCTAGGTACTGTCACAACAAACCCGTTCTAAAATACAACTATCAAACAAAATTAAAGATGTTCCCCTTCCTGACAAAAAAGTTCGGGAAACCAAAACACCTGTTAGAGAAGGTCCTTCTAAAACTGTCAAACCATTGAAAAAACCAACGGAAGATGACAAAAAACGTGGTCGAAAGAAGACTATATCCGACGAAAAACCGCCTGACAGGTAAAAAGTTAATAATTATTAATTTGCTTTTTCAAAACATTATTCCGTTTCAGCAATGTTGCTGAAGTGCCAAATACGCAAAATACCGTCACGATTGGAGACAAATTAAAAGTATACTACGGGCCTACTCACGAATCTAAAGTAACTTATGAAGCTAAAGTAATAGAAATAGATAAAGATACTGTGGGGCCTATTTATTTAGTTCATTACACTGGCTGGAATACGAGATACGACGAATGGATCACTCACAATAGGATTGCAGAAAATTTGAGTGCAAATACTAAGGCAAAGAAGTTAAAGCAACAAGCAGCATCTCCTCCTTCAAAAGTATTGGTATTTCATTCTTAAATTGTGTATTTATTAACTTCCTTTATTTATTTAGACAACAACAATTGCACCTATCACTAAACAACCAGGTAAGCGAGGAAGGGGTATGTCTATAACTGGTCGAAGTACTGTACAAGAAGGTTCACGTTCTTCAACACCGTCTATTATTCCTTCAACATCCACCAGGACGAAAAGCCCTGCTACTCCGGCTACAACAAGAACTTACAGATCAAAACGTCAAGGTATACTAGATAAAACAAAAATAAGCACTTCACTAAATCGAGTAAATGAAAATATTTTTAGCCGAGTTAAATCGTCGTACTAGGTTTACATCGACTCAGGTTGAAACATTGAACAATTCTGAATCCGAATCTGAATCAGAACTAGAATTCGAAAGTCCAGAGAATAGATTAGACAATAAAGGCGAACAAGCAAATGAAATTAAGACGTATAGAAGAAAATTAGTAAGAACGGCGATGGCAGTAAGTACTTTGACAAATAACTTAATCTGTAATATTCCTCTGAAAATGTCAAAATTAGTATTCACAATGTTTTCCTTCATATTAAACTAATAATAATAATAGATTATTTGTTATAATTATCTCTTAAAAAATAATGTAAATGAACCTTGATATTGCTTACTATAGTAGATCTTGAATTTAACATAATAAAATTAAAACTAAAAAATTAAACGAGAATTTTGCAGTTAGTTTTTATGTAACGATCTTAAGTTTGTATTGTTTTTTTTTTTTTTTCAATTACAAGTGCATTTATGTCTAATTAAATATTTTACTATTAAGAAAGTCGATAAAAGAAAGGAAAAAGATGATGAAGACACAGAAAAAGAAGAGGACGATAAAACCAAACGTCTAAAGAGAATTAAGAAAAATCTGGACGAAAAGTCCATTGAAAGTGATGATGACAGTAGTAATCCTCCAAAAGGACGAGACTTTGATCTTAATCAAATACGTTCTGAATTAAAAGGTTTCGTAAAAGCAGTGAAAATTCCTACTCCAGATTTAGCCGATAAAGACAGTGCTTCATCTGACGAATCCATGAGCACCACGAACGATGCCAAAGCAGGTGCTGAGGAAATGTACGAAAATGAAAAGCCGGACGATAAAACGTCCGAAAAAGCAGTCAATTCTGATGATATTTATGAATTTAAAGAACCAGAACCATTCGAATTTGAAACTAGAACAAAAACAGTGGATGATAAAACAAAGAAACGACTTGTGCCTCGTATTTTGGACGATATGGATAAGTCCCCAAAAAAGAAAGGAGGAAGATCACCTCTTAGTAAGCAAGATGATATTGCAGAAAACGATATTAAAAGATTCCGTAGAACACCACTAAAAAAATCTCCTGTATCCTGCGAGGAAGATAATAAACCAATCGTCGAAGATCCCTTCGATAAACTAATTGAATCGCCGTCGTTTCATAGTGGAAAAGAAAAAGTGCCTGATAACAGAGCTACAGTTACAAGGGTCCTCAATTTAGATGAGCCTCCTCTTAGTTTATTCCGAGAACTTCCGGAAACAACTGAGGACGACAGTAGGGATATTTTGGACTTGTCAGACACTGAAGAATGCCAAAACCAGCCCTTATTTACTCGAAATGAACAATTATTTTCTGAATCCAACTTCTCGAAAGCATCTGACCATAATACTTTAGATGATAACAAACAAAAAGATAGTGATGACGATGAAGCCATCAGGGCTTCAATTCAGAACGTAATCGAACAAAGTTCACTAGCAGAGTACGATAGCGGGGATGAATTGGTGATAACTCAGCCTACATTAAGTTACCAAGTCAAGAAAAAAGATAATGATAGAAAATATATTCCAACTGTAGCAGAAGCAATCGAAAGAAAACACCAAGAAGATAAGCAAGTTGCTACTACATCCAAGCAGATTTCGCCGGCTCTTAAAGAGAGCAACCCTACTCTTGTGGAAGCAGTTTGCACTCCACCAGAAATACTAATTAAACCAGAGATCAAAGAAATTCTTGTTAAACCCAGCCCAAAAATAGCTGACTCAATTCTCCATAAGTTTAATATGATGAAAACTAAAGTAGAAACTAAAATAATGGAACCAGAAGTTAAAAAGGAAATCGACGATAGTGTAAAACCAATATTACCAGCTGCCGATATTAAAGCTATCGATACAGAAGCTGAGATTGCTTCTTTAACAAAAGATACAAAACTTTTATCAGTTGACGTCAAGACTGAAACCCTCGAAATGAAACCTAAATTATCCGAAACTAAGTTGCCCAGTCCGCCTGAGAATAAATTTAAACCCATTGAATCTAAAATTAAAACACCAGAACCCCAACCAAAATCTGTTGAGCAAAAAATAAAAATTAATGAAAATAAACCGAAAATTGAAGTTAAAAGCCCAGAACCTAATCCCAAATTAATAGAATCTCCTAAAACACCTCCTGAGACCAAATTTAAAGTTGAACCTAAACTTGAGCTGTTACTAGAAAAGTCTGAAGTAAAACCGGAACTTATAAAACCCAAATGTCAAGACACTTCTCCGGGCACTTCCGAATCGTCTCGAACAAAATCTAACTCACCCCAAAATGATACAGTTTCAGAGCTAAAGAAGAGGTCAGCTCGCAAAATCATCAGTAAAGAATTTATAGACGATTCTGACACCGACAGTAGCGATTCAGAAAAGAAATTAGTAATTGCAAGATCTGACAATGACTCACCTACCACAGACACTGAAACGAAAATGGACGTAAAGGATGAAGAGACGTCGAAAACAGAGGCTTCAGAACAAACTGATGATAATTCTCAATCACAAGAACCACCTAAGGAAACAAGCAATACTTCTGAAAATAAGCCTACTACTAGTACAGAAAGTGAGCCTAAAACCGAAAATAAAGTTGAGCCTGCCGATGATAAAGAAGAAGAAACAGATTCGCATCTTCATTCGTTGTTGTTGTGCGAGGAAACTATACCCGGCAGTCCAACACCGCCTTCGGATGACTCGGAAAACGTCGTCAAACAACAGAGCAAATCCGTTCTCGAAATGCCGTTCGCCAGTGCTCCCGGAAGCAGCAATAACACCAGTAAATTGCCTTTACATAGCGAAACCAAGAGTCCAAAAGACAGACATCAACAACAATCTGTTTCACTTCCAATTGAAAGCAGAAACACATCTTCTACAGTCTTAGATAACACTCCACCTACAACGCCGGAAANACAGCGTTTGTGGCTTTTCGAGAACATGAATTAAGTAAATTTTAGGCTCAAGGACAATTTGTCATTAGTGACCTTTATTTCAAATAGAAATGCAAAAAAATACAGGGTATTCCTCTTAACCTGACAAACTTCCGATATAGCGCGTGTTATGACATTTTTCAGCTCCAGAACGACCGTTCATTGGTGATTTTGTATTTCAAATAAATTTTCCATTCGATTATTAAAAGTTAAGCAAGTTGGTTGATTGACTTATCATTAAAAAATAAGGTAATATTGTATTGTAAAAATAATTTTAAATAAATACAAATGAGGATAATTCAATGTGATAGTCATATAAAGCAAAAGGTTAGCTGAAGACGCGAATGATGCGGTAAAACCCCAACTAGTACGACGTTCTGCTGCTTGTTTGTTGCTTTCGAAGTCGATTCAACGTTGGTTCGCTACTCCACGTCCTGTTCTATGGCCGTCATCGTACCGTTAGTATATTCTATTCTCTATAACTGTTTTTATTTCCAGATACTTTAATGAACGCCGAAAATTCATCTTTAGGCAAACGAATTCGTGACGATTCAACAACACCGGCCCCTTGCAAGAAGCGACGACGTTCATGCAAGGGCACAGACGAAATAGTACCCGTTAAACGTGGTCGAAAACCGACTAACAGATCACGACATAATACGAACAACACGAATAGCGATAGCGATGACATGTCGGAGAATTCCATGTCGAGCAACATAGCAATCGGAGCAAATATTGACACCCGGCCAACGAGATCACCCCGGCCCTCTAAATATAATTTTTTCGTAGAATTAGGTAAGTCCTAATTTCCACAGTTGTTGGCTTATAAAGAAATATCATGAAATAGTTTCTCAAAAAGTTTATTTTAATAAAGAAGTGATAAGAAATAGCAAATTACACTGAAGATTGCCCTATTTATTTTAGATCCTTCTTGGGATAGTTCACAGCGAATAGCGTTATTACAACAAAAATTACAAGAGTTACGAAAAACATACGCAAATGTAAAGACTGAATTAGCAACTATTGAAAGAAGACGAAAGAAAATACGTAGAAGGGAACGTGAAGGTAAGTCATAAATGTTATTTAAAAACAATTTTTTACAACCGCTTAGAAAGTATTTGTGTAATGTGGATATCACGGCGTTATCTAAAATATATTTTACTACTTAAAGGTAAGTATCTGGAATTATGAAATATAATTTAAAATTGTATTGTAGTAACAATTAAAATTCGTTTATAAAATCAACTGTCTTAATATTATCGTACTTTTTTAATTTTATTTGTTTATTCAAGAGCCTTAGAAAACTAAATAAGTCTAGTCTTTTTTATAGCTAAACTGGCAGCTAAACTTCAAGAATCGATAGCTACATGATCAAAATTTGCCATTTTAAGATAATAATGCATACCACAAGTTCGCAATGTTTCTAGACACGTCTAAATATTATTAAGTTGTACAAATTTTATAATAATGAATTAGTGCTCAGGGCCCGATATTCATATTCACTCGAGATTTATTTTTTGTTTGCGAAGAAACTGAAAAGAAAAGTAATATTTTATTGATCTCTTACCTTGTCTAATTTAAAAGAAAATATTGATCGTGCAGAGCAACTAAGACTTTTTAACGATACGTTCAATTATATATAAATCAACTAATCAAGAGAATTGTAATAAAAATACTCAAAATACGGATGAACAATTAGAGAAACGAAAATGTTGTAATGACTTCGAAAAATTAAATTAAATTAATTGCTGTTTATTTAAGAACAGGAAAGCTTTAATTTTGCCTTTTTCTCCTATCATTTATTTGTTGTAAATAAAGATTGATAATGATATGGATTAATAATTAAGATCTTTTGTATAATGTGTATTTATTTCTAAGCATCCCATATATTTTTATACATATATTTGGTTGTATGTATCTGAATATGAATGTTAGGTCTTGAATAAAATTAATATAGGTAAAAATGTGTAAATATCTATCAATCTGTAACATACAGGGAGATGTTATGAAAAAAATATTACTTTTATTTTACAAGACTGAGGATAACTTCATATAAAAAATATACAGAAAAAATAAATAAGTCTTTGGTCAGTAAAAGTTTGTGTTGTCCTATTGTGTTTGTTTTCTGTTTTTTTTAAAGTAACCAGAAATTGTTTACTGACTCCTGTATATTACAGAAACGGTGTATATATATACAGATTATATATTAAGGAATTATAGTTCAAAATGTGTAAATATCTATCAATCTGTAACATACAGGGAGATGTTATGAAAAAAATATTACTTTTATTTTACAAGACTGAGGATAACTTCATATAAAAAATATACAGAAAAAATAAATAAGTCTTTGGTCAGTAAAAGTTTGTGTTGTCCTATTGTGTTTGTTNATTATTTAATGTGGAAAATTAAAACATTATTTTTTTATCGTGATTTTGTTTTCTTCATAATATATTCAGCATTGCTCGTTGCATATTTGTCATACTCATTTTACTCAAAATATACATTCTTTATAATTTGAATATTACGTTTCAGAAAAGTCTGCAATCTTAACAATTCTTGAAATAATGTAGACGGAGTATTTGGGAAAGATAATTCGCTTTATTTAAAAAGGGAGGAATCTGTGAATATTTATGAAATTAGATGATCCGGAATTTGTGTAGGGCACATCAAAAATTTGTCATAAAAATGACGGGGAGGGGGAAGTGCAGAGGTACAAAAAGATCGGAAAGACGTCATTATCTTTTACCTCTCTTCGTTTTAAAGTAATTGATAATTTTCGAAAAAACAGCGTTTGTGGCTTTTCGAGAACATGAATTAAGTAAATTTTAGGCTCAAGGACAATTTGTCATTAGTGACCTTTATTTCAAATAGAAATGCAAAAAAATACAGGGTATTCCTCTTAACCTGACAAACTTCCGATATAGCGCGTGTTATGACATTTTTCAGCTCCAGAACGACCGTTCATTGGTGATTTTGTATTTCAAATAAATTTTCCATTCGATTATTAAAAGTTAAGCAAGTTGGTTGATTGACTTATCATTAAAAAATAAGGTAATATTGTATTGTAAAAATAATTTTAAATAAATACAAATGAGGATAATTCAATGTGATAGTCATATAAAGCAAAAGGTTAGCTGAAGACGCGAATGATGCGGTAAAACCCCAACGAGTACGACGTTCTGCTGCTTGTTTGTTGCTTTCGAAGTCGATTCAACGTTGGTTCGCTACTCCACGTCCTGTTCTATGGCCGTCATCGTACCGTTAGTATATAGCATGCTGCGTCATCGCAATAGAAAGCTAGCAAGCGAAGCAGGCTGTTGTGCATTCCAGGGTCTCTGCTATGTTAAGACTAGCAGACGGATTGATATGCAACAAACGCTTTTGTGTGCACGTAGGCTTATTAACAAAATAAAATACCCATTCGCAATTGTATTACTATTACTAAATAAAGATGGATTATATGCATATGACCATATATAACAAACCATTACAGTTCAGAAAAAGAATATTATTTTGTTTTCTGGCGCATATTTTGATGGGTACATTTAAATAAATAAATAATATGAAGGGACACGAATCTCTTGAATGCATGTAGATATCGCGTTCATATAACAAAATTAGTCATTTACATGTATGAAAAAGGAAAAAACCAATCCAAAAGACCAAGCTTCCTTGAGACCTTCATAATTTTTAACCTATCCCATTCTTAATTCCCTCTGAGCTCTGAGGGATGATAGATTTTGAAAATCTCGACAAAAGTTATTTCGTTTTGGTCATGCCTAATTGTACTATAAGTGTAAACTTACGACACATGCTATGTATCTATACCCCAAGTGCCAAAAACAAATTTTTTTATGAAAATAAAACCATACAGTACTTGATTACGAAATTTTTTTTTATAGTTAATGTACGAAATATTGATTTCAAGCAAAGTCATACGCATCACGTACTGATTCTACAAAAATAAACTGATCTAGTTTTTAAATTCACCGTAATTATATAAAGTTGAAAATAGTTATGTAAAATTTGCTCACTTTTTTGATATGAATCTTCTTGTACCTCACTTCATGGCATATTTTTTTGTAATTATTCTATGTACCTATTACCTAATATTGTTAATTAGTCATTGTCATATTCAGTATTTAGCAGAGCACCTGAAGCGAAAAATAACGTTTAATATTAAACCATTGCACCAGTGAAAAAATTGTTTATAAAATTTTGTTGTTCTAAAAATATTCCAAAATAACCAGTTTTGTAAAAAAGGATTTGTAGTATATTTAATACCTATACTGAACATATAAAATACTATAACCCAAGGCGTCACCTCATGATTAACAGTGAGCTATACGTTATACATATATGTATATATTAGTTTTGAATCGTTTTATATAGAATTTTGGGTTATACCTAATGTTTTAATTCTCGTAAATTCGTAAATATTTTAATTAACTAAAAAAATGTTATAAACAAGCAATTTTAATAAGAGAAGAAATATAAAACTCTAAAATTGTAAATCCTTTTCATTAACAAAATGTGATACTGATAACGAACAAATTAATAAATAGTGTGATTTGATTTACCAAACATTTAATTAACGTTTTCTTTACAAATTACTAATAGTGGAAATGATTTTTACATATGTATTTAAATCCAAAGTAACAATTTTTTTAGACTTTTCTTATTGTAACCATCACGAAATGAATGTTGAGTTTTCTTTTCTGTAATTATTAGATACCTACGTAATTCATGCTTGAATGTAGAAGATTAAAACTTTTGGTAGTGACCACAACAAATTAAAAATAATCCGAGATACAGAGTTGAACTTTGCGCCTGTTATCCAGAGTTTAAGTTGACATCAGCACCAGTTCCTTTATTGGTTGTAATTAAAATTATCTTTCAGAAGGACGTAACATGCTATGCATCATACTTGTACTTGAGCAAAATTACAGTTGTATGGCAAGACGAAAAGTTACAGTCTCAATAAGTATACGACTCATAAATTTTAATAATTCGAAATAAGGGAAGATAGTTTTAACTAATTTAAATATTGTTTCCGAACCGCAGGTAAAAAGTAAAACTGAATTTGAATTTTATCACCTTTAGTTGTTAGGTATACTGCATAACTGATTTTTAGTATTTATTAAAATTAGGCTAAATCTAATGATATCTTAATTTCTACATCTATTTACTTCGATTATTTGGTAACTAATACTTATTAGTGGTTAGAACTATTATAAAAATTAATTTACCACAAAAATGAAACGAATTTATAACAATCTGGATAAATGCTGTGAGAAAAACAATTTTCCAGCGCCGCTTTTTTGTTATTCCTGAAAAGGTAATACATACTATTTAGTTAAATTTAAATTTCCAAATATTCTAAAACAAATTATTTAAATAATTTGCCTTTCAGGAATACGTGTGTACCATATGGTATGCAGATATATTTATAAATAATTTATTTTATTTATAACGCTGATTGCTTGTTGTTGCCATTAGAAAACGTTTTCCGAGCACTAGTGCGAAGTTTATCGCATATTGCTCGGCATTTTGCTACGACCATCCGGCTTACAGAACAACGCGGCTTCGCTTTATTACGGCAATGTTCACTGGCCTGTTTCAACATTCGACTACTATAAGTTGGGAAAAGGTGGGAAGTTTCTCTAGAAATTCAACATTTTGTACGAAAATGCCGAAATTATGAACTTACAACAATATTATGTACATGTATACGTACAGAAAGTGCTTCTATTTCACTGTTTCCTACTTCTAAAATTCCCATTCTCTGATAGCATGTACCTATGAATTTTTATGTCCTTATATATTCATGTCCACATTATATATTACCCATAAAAAAAAAATAAAATTAATGTTTTGAATCTACAGGTAAATACGTTTTTGTCAAAGCAAAAAAGAGTTCTAATTTTTTGCTTTCAACTTTCTTAATTTGAATAATCAAAATTCGAAGGGTTTTTAATTTTTAATGGAAAATGACAAAACGTCCTGGATCAGAAATAATATATTAAATATTTAATCAATACCTATTTTCCTTAAGATAATTTTTAATCAATCAAACAAAATCAACAAATAAGTCAGAACTTCTTGAACCGTGAATTTCACTGTATCATCTCGGGACTTTCCATGTGACACCTCATCGGCCGTTTAGTACGATTCACATTATCAGAGATTTTCATGTCTCATCTAAACCGCTCCATGTCAGATTTATGCTTAATTTCTAAATTACTTATACAATAATTTCTAATTTGTGATTTTCATCCCCATATTGGCAGAGTAAAGTCTAATCAGTTTTTCGTACTTTTTATGTTTACAATTGCTTCTTTGTAAATTACTTAAAAAGTACTTTCATAAAATAAATGCATTTATACACTACGGATTTCCACTGAAGAAGGGACGGTTAACGTACAGCACGGCATACGCGTAAGGGTAAGGGAGAGGGTGGGAATAAAGGTTCTACGAAGGGGGTTACTACAATACTGTTGTTGCTCTATCAGTTTAATTTAAAATAAAAACCTTAACAAACGATTGTAAAGTAAATGGAAAAATTTTTATTTTCCCAACTAAACCGAAAAATTAGACCAGTCCAAATAATTTATGAGGGATAAAGGATTCACAATTTAGTAAGGATTTTATTCTATTAAAAATCAAATTTAAATATTTCAATTCAAGCTATCATTTCGGACTTTCTGGTCGTCATTGATCAAGACTTCTTAACCTAACCTAACCTAACCTGGATGTTTTGTCTAGTAAGAGTTCTTCTTCCCAAATCGATCAGTCTAATTCTGAATTCGGCCGACATTCTGGGAAGAGAAAATAACTCCTGAAGATGTGCACACAAGGCCTAATTAACTAACCTGACGTAACCTAACCTAACCAGTAAGTAATTGACGTACTGACTAATTAATTTAAGTACTTTTATAAAGACAATTTCGATGATAAAATACTAACCGAAAAAGTGTTTATGTGCTAACCATTTAATTTGCTGCGGAATTATTTTCTATAAATAATAACAATGAAAATTGATGCTTTCTACTATTACACGAAATCTTCTGAAGCACGCACACGTGTTTGAAAAACAAGTTCTTTTTTTATAGCAGTGAGCCTTTCAGCATGCATAGTTAAGTAACCAAAATAAGACATTTAGTTGGAAGTGTTTACCATTCGCGAATCTGCTGAAATAAAATCAGTATGATATACCTGACT